GAGCGCCCCGTTGGCCGCCGCTTGTGATAGCTGCCGGTGAATGTGTGATCCGGGGGCAGCAGAGATCCACCGTAATGACGACCGAAGAGACGACCGAGCAGCCCCCGGTAGACGACTGCCTGAAGGAACGGAAATGGTGGTGCTTCCTGCTGTCAAGCATCTTCACTTTCCTTGCCGGGCTGCTGATCGTACTCCTCTGGCGTGCGTTCGCCTTCCTCTGCTGTCGCAAGGAACCCGAATTCGCTCCAAATGACCCGAAACAGAAAGAGCAAAAGACGAGCCGTCAGGGCAAGGAGTTCGAGGGGACTTTTATGACCGAGGCCAAAGACTGGGCCGGTGAACTGATTTCTGGACAGACCACCACTGGACGTATTTTGGTAAGTTTTTACTTTTTACCTAATCGCACTTTTCTTTTGCTTTTATTCTTCCTTTTTCTCCGCATGTTTCCTTGCCCTATCTTTGCTTTTTTCTTCATAGCTGAGAAACGAAAGGAAAGAGAGAGTAGAGATGAATATGTGCACGTGTGTATCCGTGTTTTCGAGAAAAGAATGATATTTAACTAACGTATTTGATATTTCTTTATTTTTGATTCTCATATTTTCATTTCTACTGGGTATTATATCATGTTTAAAAGGATGTTTTGATTTATGCAATAATTTGAAATTTCGTTTTTGACATGTGTCGTATCAACGGTTTTAATTTTATATTACTTTCTAATATATTTGAATATCAAACTATCGAAATTCTATTGGAATATGAAAAAAACATTAATAATGTGCGACTCGTTAAATATACGTTAAGTTTTCTTATTGTTGTTAGTCTGACGCGATTATTTCCCATGAATTATGTTGTCATCGATTTAAATGATATTTACATACTTATTTGTATATTCCAGTACTATTACGTTATGTTATATTATTTGATTATCGATTTCCAAGTTTTTGCAGCATTATACGCGGTATATTGTTGATTTGTGAATTCAACATGCGTGAGAAATAATATAGATCGATCGAGAAGAATATAGAAAGAGAATTGAAATTTTACAGGCACTTCGTAATATAGATCGTTTGTATGATCATCGTGATATTATACATATGTATATAAGAAAAAAATATGAATAAATAGTATAAAAATATATTCAAAGAAATTGCTTTTATCATGCATGGTTTTATTTCTATTACAAGTTATAATATATATAAAATTGTACTTTTAAAAATAAAATGAAAAAAAATTAAATTATTAATGCAAATATCAATCAATCAATTAATAATCAAATTTCAATTTTTTTTGTAGTTTATAAGAATTTAAAGGAAATATGTAAAATCATATGTACTATATATACGAAATAAAATACATGATGAAATTGAATTAATTTTCTAAATAATTACTTATATATCAGAGACATCATAAATAATTTTTTTTGCACTTTAAATTATAATTCTAGATTGAAATTTTTTATATTTTAAGAGAATTTATTAGTGTGAATATTTATCTATTTTTCTATAAAATTTTATAAATTTATTTTTATTTTTATTTTTCATATTATGGAACTCTTTTTCTTCGAAATATGACATCATAATATAAATATTAATTCTAGTTTAATGTCAATCGCACACGTTATTTTTCTTTTTTTAATTTGACATTTTCTTACTCGAGAATGATGCATTAGTATAAATTTAAAAAAAAAAAAAACATAAGATATAACAAAAGTATTTCTAAACTATAATAAATATTATAATTGTATAATTATAATAATATCTTATTGTCAATATAATGCAAATTTAACAAAAAAATTATGTACACAATATATAACAATTTTTTATATGTTTTTATTATTTCTGTTTGATCTATACAATTCATGCATATGATTCACAATAAATCGATTGATATTATTCGATGATTGTATAAAAAATTGTATCAATGACTATACGATATAAAATTTGATATAGAAAAAGAAAAAGATTATTACAGTACGTAATAATTTAAATATATCATATACTATATATTTTAATATCACAGAAGTGTACATAGTATATATATACTATATGCTATATATGTATACATATAATGGCACGTACAGAAAGTGAGTTCACGGCACGAGTTAGCTCGAGTATCGTAGCTGATGACCCAGTTTTCGTTCGTGGAACCAGCACGTCGTTGACTGAAGTAGAGGGGTAGTTTCTACGCAGTGCGTGCTTTATCCTTTGGGGCGTGTTTCCAGCCTCTTTCCTTTTCGAAGCTTCACGATTCTATCCTCTTAGTTTTATTTTCGTTGTGTGTTTTCCAACGAAAAAATATATCTACCAATTTCTATTCCGATTTAAACAAAAAAATACAGTTTTTAATCGGGTACGCTTTCTCTTCAATAAACGTTTTATTAAAAATAACTTGATCCAAAATTTTATATAGTTTTTTTAATTTAATATTATTTATATATATATATATATATATATATTTATTATATTTATTACATTTATTTATATTTATATATAATTTCCTTTTATACAATATAATAATGAAAAGTATTATTTATTGAAATTATTGAAGAATTAAATATAAATATTTATATGTTAAACATAAAATTGTATGAGTTAAATTTATATTAATAAATTTGTTAAATTGTTAGATTTTTTTATTTAAAAAAAATATAATAAAGTTTTTTTTAAGTTTTTTTTATATACTTTGATGTATGTGATTATATGAATTTTACAAATATGTTATGGACATACATGTTACGTAAATATACACAGATTTCTTTATACTTAGCAAACTTGAATCAATTGTATTGCAATTATGTTTATTGTTTAAAAGTTTTAGCACAACACAGATACTTTAGAACTTAAATTATTATTGCAGTACTCATTTACATGATGTATATACTACTTTGGTGAAGATACTGCGTCATTTTTATGCTTGTAGTTAATTTCTATAGTTTGTCCTATTTCGATAGGGTATATGCTAAGAAGTGTGTTTCTAGGTTAGCACTTTCTTCTAATAAATAAATCAAATTTTTGACTGAAGAAAATATTCTATATTTGAATTATGATTATGTAGTGATTACATAAAATATTTGAACATTATCATATTCATTATATAGTAATTTGTATACTAATTAATTAGATTCAAATATATTTCATATGATTTATTAGTATATTTCATATAAATATAAAAATTTTATAGAAATAAAATGAACGATGAAAAATGATGCTTTATTAAAAAATATGAAAAATACTTTTTATAGCTATTATATTTTTGTTGGTCAAATTTTTTCTATTTTAATTTTTCTATTCAAAATTAAAATTTTTGTCTTCATTTGAATAAATATTATCAAATATTATTCAAATAATTTTGATAATTCCATTTTGTCTGAAGTTTATGATATATAATATAGAAACTTTTTTTAATTGAAAGAAATGATTAAAAATCAAGTTCTATAAATAAATATCTATAAATAAATAGAAATATAAATATATTGATAAATTAAATTTTATATTCATAAACTTAAAAATTTTACAATTATATTAATTTATGGCGATTAAATTATTTTCATATTATAGCATAAATCCATAAGCCAAAACATCATTAAGTTATCATCAATTTGAGGAAATTTTATATCTCTTTATTAGTATACAATACTTTTATGATACATTTTTATATTCTTTTCAAATAATACGATGTCACTTATATAATGGCGATGTGTCTTACAAAGACAACTAAGTAGGTTTCTCTCTAATTTAATCCAACTGCAACTTACCACGTTACTTGCTACCAATGAACTGGTCGAACTATACCCTTCTCTACTAGATGACGTATGTCTTATTTTTCGCATTAAGTTTTATCGAATTATAGAAACCTTTATATATATATTGACATCTTGGTTAATTTAGCCTAGAATATATAATTCGAGTAAAAAGTCAAATTTCATTTAAAACGTATGTAAAAATGTAATTTTGAGATACATTTTAATGCACAGAGCGATTTATTTTAATTATTTGCTAATGATTAATATCATCAATGAAAATTCTTTTTGTCATGAATGATAAAATTTTGAAATAGCTCTGATTTTTTCTATGTTTTTTTTTAAATAAATTTCTAAAGTCTTCAACTTTTTTATGTAGATTTAAAATTTAAAATTTAAATAAAATAAATTATGAAATATTTTAATAATTTTGTTTAGATTTTTACATAAATTTCCAAAATTTGGAAAAAATTAATAGATAAAAAAAAATTTGAAATTTATTCAATTTTTTTTATCTTATTCAATTCTTTTTGATATTGTTAATTAAAAAAATATTATATAATAAAAGACAACGATTAAAAATTTGATTATGAGAGAAGGATACAGAGAATATTAAATATCATTATGATAAAAATGAATTAAAATCGTATTATTTGTAAAAAAAACCAATAAAAATAATTGATAATCATGTTATGTTATATATCTTCTATATTATATTTATAATAAAATTATAAAGATATTCTATGACTTAATATAAATCAATAATTAATCAGTAACAATAAATAAAAATAAAATAAGGATAATAAGATTGTATTGAATACTTGTGTTCCCTAAAGAAATATATTTGAAAATCAATATGTACAATTAATGTTATTGATTTTAATTGATTACATATTTTATCATAAACTATCATGGTTGTTTTTATACAGAATAAAATATCAAAGTTCATTTATTATTTAACGAGCACAATATAGCAAGCAACAAGTAATGAATTAATCACATTAATAAATTAATTAATTAAGTTTTAATTTACATTATTTTATTATTTTAATTAAGATATTGTTCATGTGATTTTTTTCTCATTCAAACTTGTTACATTAAATTATTATTGGTTTAATTACTATTAATTACTTATTACATTTTCAAATTTTAAGGATAAATTAATAGATAAAGTAATACGAAATAAATTAAAATATTGTTAATTTAAAAAAATGAGAATGAAAAATAATATTTTCCATTTATCAAATTATTTTACGTTGAAATATAGCAATCACGGTGTAAAAGAAGTGTCATGCTATTAATTCAATACTCTATTACCTTCATGTATTGAATGTGATATATTTTGATAACTTGCATATATTATATTGGTGAATCGACAAAGGTTTTTATTGATTTTTGTCTATCTTCTGTGCGTATTTTCTGCGCACAGTCTCCAAATTATATGCCAATTTTTTTTTATCATTTGTTATATTCTTGGAAAACAATTTTAGATGTAGATAAGTCAATCAATTATTTGGAAAAGTTGAAAGTTTCACTTCGATTTTTTTTATTAAAAGAAGATTTAGCATTGAAACAAGAAAAATCCATTTTACTAACTTTATTATAAAAAATTCTTTATAATTCTTATATATTTTTTAA